AGATTAAGTTATCTAACGAGTTTTACGTTAGTGACATCTGTATTTTTCAAGTCCGTATCGAACTTTTGCGARATTAGTCACAGGTAACATTGTCTAGTCTTTCTCGCCTCGGACACATATTTTCAAGCAAGAGAACAACGTGGTAAACTCTGATCCTATCCGTAATAGCTGCAATTTTTAAAATTTAAGTCTTAACGTTTGAACTTCGGTACATTTTTCAACCAAATTATTATGCACATGATTTATTTTAGGTGTGAAGTATCATTATCCATAAAATTAATTTAGGCCGTCAAAGGACAAACCTATTTTAATTTAGATTCACCACGTTGGTCAAAAGAGACTCTCTCTCTCCATGTGACAAAACAGAAGAGAAGCAATATTCCTAATTGAATTTTATCTTTAATTCTGTAAAAGAGAAACGTGTGGTTTGAGGGGAGGGATTATTCAGGTACGTCTGCACACACCGATTAATTACGTGATTACGAATCAGAATTGAAGATTATGAGTGCTAATGAAAATGAACGGCAGAGATGAGATCACCGTTAACGGATGGTCAAATCAAAGATAAGGTCAAGATCCGGTTGCCGATGTGTCGGGCGTGTACGACGGACCCCACTTTCCCTCTCTCTTCCGTTTCTGTTCCTTTTGTCGTTTTGCTTTCCCTTTGGGTTCCGCTGTTGCAATTTCCAATTTAGTTTTAGCCTTTAGGTTCATAATCTGAAATTTACTTAAATATATACCTTACTTGGCTTTAATGTAAATGTAATTGATTTTTACCCATGGCTGCAATTTATCAATTAACTAAGTAATCAAGGTTGAATCATAAGTTTATTACTTGACTTTCAAAAGGACGACGATTTTGGATGGCCAACCAAGAAGTAGACACCTTGAGTTTTAAGTGATGGGTCTCCCACTTACTTGGTAGTGATCAGAGTCCTTCCCTTTTATAGAAGCAGGTGGCCAACCAAGAAGGACGACGATTTTGGATGYAAGGACGCGCCGAGCTGTACAAGACCCTGATGGATAGACGGATGTTTCCGACAGTCAGTGGCAGGTCTGTCCCTCGACAGATTATAGGTTTCAGGCAACATTCTTCGACGTCTCTCCCGCACAGCTATGGTGGTGACACGTTTTGTACATCACACAGAGTATGGTGTTAACAATCTGTGGTTCTGTAATTTGCTGTCGTTCTTGGAATCCGACTCGTATCTGCTCAAACTTCTTGCTTACCACTTTTAATTTTATGTTTAATAGATAATATTCTCGTCAGACATGTTAAAATAATGAAATTAATAATAAATAAGTACAGGACGCAGCAACAAAAAATTTAAGAATGTATTTTTAAAAAAATAACAATCAGTCGTGGGAACTTAACAATAAATTGATGGTACTAAAAAGTGTCCTAAAATTTTGGGGAAAGGAGGTTTTGGTGGGAAGTTGAATTCACAAATCACAGAGAATGCTACTTGTCCAGCTGTAAAGATGAACTTTTTGAGCTACGCAACTGCAAATTTGTCCTTCAATGTTACCCATTATATTGCGTTAAATTAACACCGCACGTGTCGAACCATTGCTACTTTTCTTTTTCTTTTCCATTTTTAAACTTTACTTAACTCTGCATGGAGACTCTAAAACCAACTCATCAACATTCTATATTGCCTTCTAATCCCACAAATCTAAAATTTAAACATTATTTAATTCTGACATTTGAAGTTATTGGCTCAACAAAAGCTTATAATAATACAATTAATATGTATACCGTATCCCATTTCTATTATAAATAATATAGACCAACAAACAATAAAATAGTTTCCAACAAACAATAAAATAGTTTATATCACCTTAAATATATATTGGTGTGTAYCAATCAAGAGAATTTTTACATTTTAACTTAATGGTTTTGAAAAGAGATATAACAAATGCATGTTGCTTCGAAATTTACGATTCGTCCCACCTCTAGTGTTGATTGTGAGAATGAGCTAGTCTAGTCACCATGAATAGTTGTGCAAAGTATGTGGTAGTAGTCCACACAAGATAGTAACGTATAGTGCGTCTAGGTTTGAGAAATATTAGACTGAACTTGAATCAAGGTAAGTAGYGTGCTTTGAACATCTTCACAATCGGTGGTGATCATGCATCTCAAAAACTTACAAAATGTGAGTGCAGCTCGAATCAAGCTGCTTTTTGGATACTTTCTCCAATAAATAAGGAATAGATTTCACATATATACCCTCATACTTGTCCAACACACTTCAATATTTATATCAAACCAAATGTGTGCTAAACTAAAGTAAGAGTCAAAATTGCATACCTCGCATGTTAGGAAATTTTGAAGAAATTGTGTTTATGATTTTTCCACAATGAATCTTGCATGTCACATTTGCCACCGTGAAAGAATTAGTCTGTCACATCTAAGCCGTGAAACACAAGACTACCCAAATCTTCTAACTTGTGGTGATAACCTATGGCTTACCCATATCAAAATGGGTAAATGTGGCCTCCACACGGACTCATACCATGACCAAGTCAAGTAGGCTCGAGTTGGCTCACCCTAGCCAACCAAGTTGGCTAAACCTATCGCCAAAATTCTTCCCAACTCTTTAATCTAATTGTTTTAGCCCAGTGATATATCCATATTTATTATTGTGCCCAACAAAATACTTGAACAACTCATCTTATCCATAACAAGTGGCCTCATAAAAAAAGTTGTACTCTTGACCTTTTGTCACTTAGTGATAAGGATGAGTAAATGTTTACGATTCTCAAAAATATAACTCAATTATGAAAGCTTAAAATATTATACAATTAACTACTTCACCTTTATTGCCTATTGTGTATCATGGAGAAATAGTAATAAATAAATAAATAAATAAGGAAGAAAGAACTGTATATAATTATGATCCATGTTGACATCAATTTTTCTGTAATAATACTTGGATAATTTTGGGTATTAATTAATTTAGATACAATTGTAATGTTGGGCGGCTGTTTCAATATTAGAGATAATTTGCAAAATAAAAAAAGTGGAAAAGAAAAAATAGAAATTGAATTAAAAACATGGTCCAAATTCATGTTATGTTATGAATGAAGTTACGCGGAAAGTCCATAAATTAGCTTGTTTCCAAAAAAAATATAAATAAAAGAAAATAAAAAAGAAAACAAATGGCGAATCCTGTGAATACCGCTTCTCTCCGCATCAAGAAACTGTATTCATAAACTACTTTTTTTTTTTTTTTACTTTTTCAAACTTAAAGAAACCCAATTCTATATTTATTTGGTATAAATTATAAATTTATTGAGTTATATAAAATCCATTTTTTACCGATGCGAGCATAACTCAACGGTAATTAACATATATTTCAAACTAAAAGATTGTGAGTTCGATCCTACGCTCTACATATAATAATAAAACCCCCTCTTTTACACTCTAAACTAAATAGTAAATAATCAGACACGTAATTAAATTTCTAAACGGCATAAAAAGTTATATAAATTCAAATATTTATCACTTATTTATTTGAAAAATCTAATTACATTTTTTTAATTTAATTTAGAGGGAAGGATTTCAACTTCCAGAAGTAAAGTAAGAATTGAGTTTCTATACTTTATATACTTTTTTATCATTTCTTTATTTATAATTAAATTTTCAACTTCTATGCTTAAAATTGCTAGAACGATAGGCATTAATTCATCACTTAGAACAATAATTATCACCTAAAATTTGCCCATACCCCTAAACTAATAAACATTGCAATATATATTCTTTTGCAACATAACATTACAATTACAATATATAATTCCATGCTTTAATTTCTAAATGTTTTAAAATCTTTTTTGGGTCGATTAATATTCAGTAACTTTTGTACTGATTCTTATTTTTAAAAAACTTTTGTACTGAAAAAAAATAAAATTAAAGTTGAAGTAACAATTTAGAATATGAACTTTAGCATAATTTATACCGTTTAAAATTTGTAACTATTTAGTTCTTGAACGTTATTATGGTACTAAATTTATAGCTTAAAATTTGTATGATTGGCAGCACAAACATAGCCTACCAATTAAGGTATTTTGTTCATTCTCTTGATATTAGAGATTTAAATTTAAAGTAGTTTTTAAAAGCTTTGTTATTTTTGAATTTTGGCTTAGAATTATAGAGAATTAGCATCGATAGTTGTAGATAATAAAAATAAGGTTCTTCGAACTAGCAAGAGTCCAAGTCATTTCTGGTTGGACTTGGGATCGTGGTCATCTGTCTCTGGTTTGCCGACAACCATATGTGAGCTGCCTCATATGGCTATTCGTAAAAACTTAAACTCTCTCTAAATAAAAATAAATAAAACTTTTTCAAAAAGCCTTCGTCCCCAAAAATACGTGTCAGGATTCAAGTGATTCACCGAAGCGACGAGGGAGCTTCCTCCAACTCGAATGCTGGTCGAGCCTATTGGATCTTCCTATCCCGTGGCACCACTAGAGCAAATGTTTATTCATAATCAATCACACYCCACTGTGAGAAGAATGAGGAAGCTCTTCAAGAGATGAGACCTAAGATCTTGCCTTTCCATCATATGACAAAAACATTGTTGGGTCAAATAGGTTAAGCATAATTTTCTAGAACAAACAATAATTATCAAACCGGACCTAAACTGTTTCTGGAATTAAAATCAAAGTCAAATGTATTTTTTAACCTCACCTCAGGGAAAAAGAAAAGAAAAAAAAACATATGCCTCCGGAACCCATTTGTTTACCATTGTGTGTCTCATAAAGAGGGAGAAAGAAAGAAAAAAAATAATGGAGATGAGTCAGAGACAATCACTGCATACTCTATTTTGTTAAATTAGATGCTATGCTCTCTGCATTTGTAATGCATGGAATCTTTCTTCAACAACTCTTTTACATTTACATTGCAATTCCCATTTTTTTATAATTCCTCCTCTAATCTTTAACTTAATTCCTCTTCTTTCTTATAATCATCCATTCAATCCCTATTCTATTCTTTACTCATTTTCACACAATTTTTTCTCTCCCTCTCTTTACTCTCTAGTTTTGTTTTTTCCACTTGTGACTCTCCCTTCGGCCTTCCGCCTCGATTTTCTGACTCCCCCCTTTTTAAAATCCCCCACTTCCCCTTTCTCCATTTCTCCATCTTCTCCCCCTTCTTCACCCCCTTCCACTAGTTGAAACCTCTTCAACTTCCACTCTCTTTAATGGTTCTGTAATTCATTCCCATCTGAAACCGTCGTCTGAATCTTCCAAAACTCCACAGCTTTGTGTGATTGATTGGTTGTTTGTTTGATGATGGCTCAAAAGCACTTGCACCAGCTGCTTGAAGAGGATCAAGAACCCTTTCATTTGAACAGCTACATTGCTGAGAAACGTGTTAATCTCAAAAGGGTTTCTCCTAAATCCGATTTGCAAGTCCACAAACGAAAACCCATCTCCACAACTTCAATTTTCCAGGGAAATTTCTGCAGGAATGCTTGTTTTACGTCCTTCCAGCCCTCGCCGGACCTTAGGAAATCGCCGCTCTTTGAGTTTCATTCCCCGGCTAGAAACAGCCCCAATGCTATTTTCCTCCATGTCCCGGCCAGGACTGCCGCTCTGCTTCTTGAAGCCGCTCTCAAGATTCATAAACAGAAATCGTCTCCCAAAATTAAAAAGACCCAGATTAAGAATCAAGGGCTTGCGCGGTTTGGGTCGGTTCTAAAGAGATTAACTCTTCGAAATCGAAACACCAACCGTCAATCTGAAGCTTGCGGTAGTGGAGGGGATTTGGCGTCGTTTGGGCAAAGAAAAAGCTCCATTCGAAGGAAATTAACGCAGGGTGAGACCAGCTCCTACAATGGAAGGTCTAGCTATGGCTTCTGGTCGGAGAGCAACGAAGAAGAAAGATCAATGGATTTGGGGACTTCGTGCAGTAGCCAATCTGAGGATTCAGAGGAGACTTCTGTTGCTTATTTGGGGGGAGATTACTGCGAAAGCCCTTTTCGATTTGTTCTCCAGCGAAGCCCGTCCTACGGTTGTCGGACGCCGGRTTTCCAGTCGCCGGCGATCTCTCCCTGTCGCCGTAACAAAGAGGTATGTCAAAATCATCATCTCTAGTTTGAAATTTTACTCTGTTTTTGGGAAATCCGTTACCTCTTTTGGGGGGGTAGTGACTTTTTTGAACTTTGACATTAAATGCTCTGAGTGTTCTTGATAGTACTTGTAAGCATATCTCTGCAATATAGATCGTTTTCTCTTTTTTCACTTTCTCTGAGGACTTGAGGCTCTGTCTGGTAGGGTAACTATTTGCTTAAGACAGACAAAAACCACTTTCTTTTTTGTTATTGTATTGCAGAATGCCTCACCCCTTCCTTTTTATAGAATACAGTAACTTTTTACGGTACAAGTTTCTGGCCAATTCTTTTGAACTTTTTTATCTGATCAAAAGAGATTACCCACATGTTGATTAGTTTGAAGAGGTTAATCTAATTGGTTAAATTCACTGATGAACCTTTGAAAGTTCATTTGGATGGTTGAAAATCTGATTAGCTGATTGGGCTTTTACGCACTAGTGATCAATCAATTGAAAAAGTTTGACTGATTTACAGTTTCTATTCAAGGTTAAAATTTGTCTATTGTGAAAGAAGGGGAATTGAGTAGGGAATCTGGATTTGATGTTTTACATTACCCATGATCCTGATTTTTTGAATTTTGTCTGAATCTTCCTACAGGACAAAACGATTGACGGTGGAGAAAGCTTGAAGAAATTTCAGGTGGTAGAAGATGAAGAAGATAAGGAGCAATGTAGTCCTGTGTCTATATTGGACACTCCTTTTGATGACAGTTACGATGAACGGCATGACGACCGGGTGAGGGACAGGGTCGAAGATTACGATTTGGAATGCAGCTATGCAGCTGTCCAAAGTAAGTAGCTTTTGGTATTGAAACAACTGTTAAAAGCCACCATTTTCATGCCCTTTTTCAATCACCTATGTAAGTAATGGGAGATTACAAGTCCAGAACTTGTGGTGATCTCTGGTTTCGAATTTGGGATGTTCTTTGTTTATTAAGAAGATAGTTTCCGAGTCGGTGAAGTTCATAAGATGGTTAATGATCTGCTGCAGTTTGTGAAGCAACTTGTTTCAATTCAGTTGGAGCTTCAGTTCTTTCATTCAAATTATCAACAGCAATGTTTCTGATCTCCATTTTTACATTTGTTAGGAACGAAGCAGCAACTATTAAACAAGCTTCGCAGATTCGAGCGACTCGCAGACTTGGATCCAATTGAACTCGAGAAAATAATGGTAGACGAACAACAATACGAGAGAGATTACGACTACTTTAGTAGTGAAGAATGTGAATATTACAAGTCACCAGTTCAGTGGCATAATGAAAATGACATCGAATGGTTTGTGAAAGAGGTTGCGAGCGATACAAGCTCTTGCAAATCCCAACGATTCCTCCCTCAAGACATGAGGAAACTTGTCATAGATCTCATTGCAGAAGAAGAGGCAGATCAAAGAAATCGCAACACGAGAGAGGAGGTGATACAAAGGGTTTGCAAGAGGTTGGAGCTGTGGAAAGAGGTGGAATTCAACACCATAGACATGATGGTGGAAGAAGATTTGAAGAAGGAAGTTGATGAGTGGAAGAAAAACCAGGAGCAGAGAGGAGAGGCAGCCATTGATTTGGAGCTTGCAATCTTCAGCCTGCTGGTGGAGGAATTGGCAGTGGAACTTGCTCCTTGAAAAGGCAAAAGTTTTGGCAAAGTTTCTACTAAATCTTGCTGCGCCGAAGCTTTTTCTTTCACAAAATATTAATTCAATTGGTTATTGAACTGTAGTGTAGTACATGAACTATATGTATATGTAATCATGTATGTAGCAGAGGGTGGCCTAGGAGTCTTTGCTCAATGGTCATGTATATTCTAAATGCCTTTCACATCCAAAACGTCATTTCATTTATTACACGAGCGTTCAAAAATCCCGACAACTCGAAAAAACTGAACAACCCAACTCAACTCATATGCATTTGGTTGATTTGATTGTATCGTCTTCATATGATGAAGTCAAATTTAATTGAATCTGGATTGGTTCTGTTTTGTTTTCCTCTTCTATATCAATGGAAAATGCACACAATTGGAAAGCTGATACTTTATAAATGATTTGAACACTCAAAGAGTCGGATGTTCTCTAGTAAGTAGGGCCTATAAAGAGATTAAAAGGTTGGAAACAAAGGACAATCTTTTCAACCAAAAGTTGTAAAAAATGAAGAGGCTTCAAATGCTATTGCTAGTAGGTCAACATATCAAATACTGTGCTTTCAAACTTTCAATTCATAAAATAGTAACTATTTACTACTCTTATAATGATTTTAGTTTTTCTTACTATTAATATATCTATGGTTAAAAAGCATATTTGGTCCGTCTATTTTCATTAAAGTAACGATTTAGTCCCTGAACTTTTAATTGTAATGATTTAGTCCCTCTACTTTTATATGGATAACAATTTAGTCTCTGAACTTTAATATGTAACAATTTAATCCCTATCACGAAAATTCTCATCAAAATTAAGCGTCAATTTTTGTCATATATGGATTTAATTTTTGTGATTTATAAACTAATTTGATCCTTCATCGGTTTATCGGTCTACATATATAAAAAAATAACCAAAAAAATTCACAATGGAAACCAAATCATTACACAAACTTTAAACTTCAAAAACTAAATTGTTACATTCTAAATTTCATGGATTAAATTGTTACCAATTTGAAAGTTCGGGGACTAAATCGTTACTTCAACTAAAGTATAAGGACTAAAAGTGTTATTTAACCTTGTTTATGAAATCTATTTTCTAAAATATTATTGATGAGGAATTCAGCTCATTATATTTTATCTCAGAGTAGATGCACCTTACATATATTGTAACATAGCTCAATTGATTGCAAATATAGCAATACCATTTTCAAAATTAAATAAAGCTCATCCCCAACCTACGACGAAAAATACTATAATAACCTTGAAACTAACCATAGTTTTTTCCTCCACGATGTCTTAACCTATCACGATAGACGTCTTGATTGATAGACGCTAACTAGTGAATTATCAAGATAAAAAAAGAGTCAAGTAAAAATAAGTGAGCTTAAAAAAATTGACATATTCCTAGGATTTTAGTCCGTCTCATGCTGAAATTTCCATAAAGTTGCAACTAGACAACACCATATATTGGAAGTGATAATGGGATTTAGGCAATTAATTAATGGGCTGTCAATACACAAGAAACATGCATTTTCATCCATCTAGACATTAATTCACTGATTTTAAAATAAATATATTTAAATTTACTATTGATATACTTAAGTTAAAACTTTGTTTAATCAATTATAAATAAACAACTAACTAAAAATAATTCCTTCATTTTATCTCTCAATCAAGAATTTACTACATTGATTAATCTCCAAGAATAAAAAAAATTACTAATTGATAAAATAATATGTCCCCTCATTGAAATTTTCAATAGTATAATGATAATGAAACCCATAAATACTATTAGAAAAAAGTTGATAATTTTTAGATAGGTTGTAGTGGAGGGGAGGGGGAGATTGATTGGCCAAATTAAATTGGAAAGGCAGATTAATTCAAATAGTTGGTTTTGGGTGTTGAAAAAAATAATAAAAAGTTTAGTTGTCTTGTCACAATATTGGGAGGCAGTGAGTTGTCATACTTAAGAAAAGGGCTTAATCATGAACCCTAAGAAAGGTAAAAGGTCTTAGTTTAAGTATCTAATATTCATGTTTTCTCTTTTATTTGCAAAAGTTTCTTCCTTTTTTAATCACCCATCTTATCCAACACTATTCATTTCATCTCACCTAACTTTGCCTCTATGGTGGAAGCTTCGTATAGTTTATATTTCAATTTTAGTTGTATTTTTTGTTTTTGTTTTTGAGTTTCGATGTGGACGAAGATTTGAACCCTTGACTTTTTTATCCCAGATATATATCTTGTTCAGTTGAGTTAATCATTGATAAAAATTAAGGATGAAGATTTAAGCCTTCAATCTCAAGAGAAGTGTAAAAGATCTCCCATCGAAAAAATCGAGAGACTTAACAAGGTTTATAAAGATATGAGCTAGTTTACATGCTCAAACGAGCATCTGGTCCAAAACAAAGAAAGAATCCGACAAAGATGGGTGACTTCATCTTGAAAAGGTATGTTAAGGATTTCGCATCTAAAATGTCAAGATATACCCAAGGTCTCTTATTGGCTCTTTTGCGCTCACCAATTCTGGATCTTACCTTTTGGACCAGATGCTCATTTTAGTTTTTTGGACTCTTATACCGATTCATTGGTTTTTTTCATCTCAAACTCAATTAGCAATTAATAGAATAACTCATGTATACTATAAACATTTATTAAAGCTACTGTCATTTAATCTTTACGATGTAGGATTCTTAATATGTCATCATCTTGACAAGTGGAGGAATAGCTCACGTTTGTTAAAGCTACTCTCATTTAATTTTTATAATGTGGGATTCTTAATATGCTCGCTCAAAATTGTGGCACTTTTTAGACTCGAGACTAGTTTTGGGATAGGGAGGGGCAACCACCTTTTTGGTCATCAACTCAAATATAATACACATATATATATCGTGAGGTCATTTATCTCATTATTGCGTTGCAAATCTTTGTTAGAAGAAAGAAAAAGGAGAGATCTAGTGAGTGAGTGGCATTTTGGCCACAAACATCAGTGTGTGGTACTGATGTTGAAACTCATCAACTTCATTTTCTGATATCTGCAAATTTCCAACCCCAACCCAGATGTATCCACCATGAACATGATCAACATGAACCTGAACCTGAATCTGAACCGGCCTTACAACAACGCATGCAGTTCATCAACAACTGGTCTGCACCAATTCTCAATCCATAAAATGCCTCCCCGGATCATCCAATTCCACACACACCCCTCAGAAATAAAAACATCATCTTTAATATTTAGAATTACCATGTACTTCTCCAAAACCAAAACTGGCCCCAACCCCACTTCCGGCTACCGGGGGGTGCGGCGGAGGAGCTCCGGCAAATGGGTGTCGGAGATCCGGGAGCCCAGGAAACCCAATAGGATTTGGTTGGGGACATTCCCTACGCCGGAAATGGCCGCCGTTGCGTACGACGTCGCGGCGCTGGCTCTGAAGGGCCCCGACGCCGACCTCAACTTTCCGAACTCGGCGTCGTCGCTGCCCGTGCCTGCCTCCACCTCTGCACGTGATATTCAGGCTGCAGCCACCTCCGCCGCAGCGGCAATAGGGGCGGCCGCGGCGGCCATGGGGATAGGGATGAGGATGGATGGTAATTCGCTGAGTAGTAATGAAGGAAGTGGAAGTGGAAGTAGAATGGAAGAAGAAGAAGAATATGGAGTTGTGGGGGAATTTGGGGGATTTGTGGAGGAAGATATGATATTTGATATGCCAAATATTCTGATGAACATGGCTGAAGGAATGCTTCTTACTCCTCCTTCCTTCAACTTCAACAATAATCTAAATCCTCCAAATGATCATTTTGATTATGCTACAACCTATGCACCTCAAGATACCCTTTGGGATTTCCCTTAGACATCTCTCTCATGTTTTAATCCAAAAATTTAGTAACTTTTAACACTGCAAAATTCGAAATACAGATGTCTTTCGCTAATAAACTATCTTTACGTTGTTTGGATTTAGTGACTTTTTGCTCTATATAAATGAAATCATTTTGTCATTGTTTCAGCTTCCATTTAGTTTATGGGATCAGACGGATTAGAAAATTGAATAGTGATTGTGTTATTTTGGTAGAATGAAGATGCTAAAGTAATTTCCTGAGTTTAGTGATTGCTCCTAATATTAGCCATTTGTTTACTGATAACTTCTTTACTTTGTTGTTGGTCAAACTATAAGGACTTGGAAAGTAGAAAAGCTGTTATAAAAACGTATGTGAAGAAACTTGGTTTGGAAGTTTTGGAAAAGTTTGAATGATTTACATTTTTAGCATATATCAGTTTATCTGGTTTTTCAGAGTTGTAGGCCACACGTGTGCTTTCTTTTTCTTTTTCTTTTTTTTTCCCTCTTCTTATTGTTGACGTGTTGCTCTCAACTTTTCTGATGTGGCAACTGAAGATTGGTAATTTGTGAAGGGACAAGGTCTTGTTGGATGCTGACTGTTCATCTTCTTTCTCTTGTCAGCGTTCGTGGGAGAGAAAGGAAGAAAAAGTGATATTTTTTCTATTTTTCAAAAAACTAAAAAAACTTATATCCAATACCTAAATATTTTTCCATTCGAATTAACTTTACTTCTAATGGTCAAACTTGATGATTAATGGAACACAAACAACTCTGTTCTTCGTTGGAAGTTTCAACTACCCAATTCTAAAAGGGTTTCCAACTTTCATCTCACATCTTTTTTATTCCTTTTTATCTGTAGTGTTTTAGCAGTATTGAAAAGGAATATTGAATCGTCAAATCAGATTATTTGTTTAATAAATTTACAAGAGGTGTTCCCTCTTCTTTGTTAATGACATGCTTTGAGGAAAGTTGAAATAGTGAGAAGATTTTGAAGACATGGGAGAAAGTTTTCAGGCCTTTCAAGTAACAAATTATGAATTAAATTACCAATTTAGTTACTAAACTTCTAGGATTATATCTAATAGATTCTTAAAATTTACGAATTTATGTCATACAAAATTTAATTTGTGCCTGATAAGACCCCAACTTTTCAATTTTGAGTCTATTAGGTTGATGTATTTTAAAAAAATTATTGACTTGGTAGACACTTTTTTAGTTCAGAGATATATTAAACCTTTTTTAAAATTTTAAGAACTTATTGAAGGTTTATAGACTAAATTTGTAATTTAACCTAAATTTTAAATATTTTTTCTTTGGGTTTATTTCAGACACTTTTGAACAAGTAATTAGAGAACTATAGCTTAAAGATTATGGTACAACATTATCATGACCCGTCTTTTTATATATTTCAATGAAATACATAATTGATTATAAATATCCTAATAGAGAAGGTGAATAAAGTCCAAAGTTGGCAAAAGAATCTTAATGAAATTGGCAACGTAATATAGCTCAAATGTCATCTACTTCTTCCTTTGAGGTTAGAAGTGAAGTTGTAATCAAACTTGAACCTTTATGCCAACATTTGGTGGGGGAATTCAAAACAAGGTTAAAAGCTTCATTAGGCCAAGCCAGAGAGATGAAAAGACATCCAAATTGCTTAACAAAGTTGAATCGTGTGACATTTTGATGTGTGTGTATATGAAAAAAAAAAAAAAAAAGAAGACATTACTAAGTAAAAAGTGGGTCTAGAGCAGCAATGAAAGATGGCAATGGAGCTTCCACGTCTAGTTGAGAGTGGGAGTGGAAAAAACTTCGAAGATTGCATGTTCCTTCAAAGTTCAAGGCATTTAATTGGACAGTTTGCGTTGATATCATTCCTATCAAACTAAATTTAAAGAAAAGGAAAATAGCAGCTGATATAAAATTGCAAAAGTGCTCTGCTCCCTCGAATTAGCCTCACAAGCAGGTCGAGTAAGAGTTGATTCGCTTCAACTGGGCAAGAACAACCATAGAATTCAAAACAATCTCATACAGTGCGGCAACATAATACAAAACTCCCATTATGAATGGTGTTATTAACTGATGAAAAAACCAAAATTACAACAGAAACCAGAAGATAACCAGTTCTTCCACTGAAATGTAATAACAAAAAACTTGCAAAAACCTCACATGGCGACGCTCATCAAGCTTATTACCAACGCCTACCATATAGCTTGATATTAGAATTGAAATTAGAAGAAAAAGAAGAGAACTACCCCTATGCCTGAGAATCCAAACACAATATGCCGCAGCCTTGTTGTCTACAAAGGCAATACCGAGTCCAATAACTCATCAATACTTGTAGTTATCCTGGTGGAGGCTCTCCGAGGCACCCTCAGTGAGCTTAGCATCACCCTTGTAAGTTCCCAGAGTTGCTTCGGAGTTGGCCTTGCACCTTACGAGCAAAGCACCCTGAGCCTTGGGGATGTTCTCATCCTTTCCAGCCCATGCCTTGAGAGTACTCTGCTGAAGAGCTCGTCCAAAGGAGAAAGAGAGAGACCATGGTTTCTTCCCCTTGAGTTTGTTCATCGCATTAAGGTTGATAGTGGCCTCCTCTTCGCTCTGTCCACCAGACAAGAACACCACAGCAGGAACTGCAGCAGGGACAGTGCGCTGAAGGGCACGGACAGTGTGCTCGGCAATCACTTCGGGTGCAACCTTTGCAGATTGAGATCCTGGGGTAACCATGTTGGGCTTCAACAAGGTCCCTTCAAGGAGGACATGGTGATCATTTAGAGCCTTGTAGCACGCAGCAAGAACACGTTCGGTTACATCAGCGCACTTGTGGATGTCATGAGGACCATCAACCAAGATCTCAGGCTCAACAATGGGTACAAGGCCATTCTCCTGGCATATGATGGCGTATCTGGCCAATCCATTGGCATTTTCGTTGATAGCCAACTGAGAAGGTTCATTATCGCCAATCTTGAGCACAGCACGCCATTTGGCAAAACGAGCACCAGCTTGGTAGTACTTTTGGCAGCGCTGAGCAAGGTCATCGAGACCCTGGGTTGTGGTCTCACCTTTGGTTCCGGCAAGTTCAACAGTACCCTTGTCAACCTTAATGCCAGGGAGTACACCACCTTCCTTCATGACATCGACGAAAGGCTTGCCTGCACAAAGGAATAAAGTGGAAAGAAATGGTGAGAACCACCCATACGTCTATAAGACTCAAAACGTTAAAAGGAAACAAACCACAATATTTACCATGACAAGAAAAGATCAAGTGATTAAGATAAGATACCTGCAGCAGTCTTCTGGTAGAGAGTTTCCTCGAACAGAATGATCCCACTGAGGTATTGGAGAGCACCAGGAGCAGTGAAAAGGAGCTCACGAAGGGCACGTCTGTTTGTTTCAACATTTTCGACATTGATACTGGAAAGACGCTTACCAATTGTGCCAGTTGACTCATCGGCAGCAAGAATACCCTTTCCAGGGGTTCCAATGTACGCAGCATTGGCAATAAGCTCATCTACACGGTAGAAAATACAGAAATGATGACAAATACCCGAATGGAGAACCGAGATCTCCTTTTAAAAAAAGTAACCAAGTGCAAAAACCCATCACATCAAAAGACCCAATGGAATTAGTCTTAAGATAAAAACAAAATTCGAAAAAATTGGCCATATATAAAGCAACCAAACTGTTTCATGCTCTCACTTCTTCTACAAGACAGAACAGAACTCAAAACATAGATCTGGACTTTGCGACCCTATTGATCTAACCACATGAAGAGCAGGAAATGATGGATCGGAACACCAAATAAATAGATACCTCTAAATCCCAGAGACAGAGGCGGGAAGCAAATAAGAAAAAACAAAAACATAGATCGAAAGAAACACAGTGAGAAAATGAAACAACCAACACTAGATCTCTATTCAGATCGGATGAAAGGTGAAATGCACGAGAAGAAAACAGAGTAAAAGAGTGTAGCAGAGATGATTACCAGCGTATTTGCCCCTGTAGCAAGACATCTTCAACACCTAAAAGTTAGGGATAAAAATGGAGCTTTCGGAAATCGGAAGAGAAATAGGGAAAATGGAACAGATATATGAAGATGGCAAAGAATTAGGGTTTATATGCAGAGCGGAAAGACCGAGAAATGTGCATCGCCACGGACTTCTCATCATTCCCACGTGACAATTCAACCAACGGGTATTTTTGTGATTTTACTCCTTTGCCCTTCTCCTTTACCAAACTCTACAATTTCGCTTTTTCTTTATTTATTCCACATAAATAATTTATGCATTAAATCTCGAAAAAATTAGAATTTGTGTCTACGTGCCATGTTTGTAAACTTGTTGCAAGAAAAAATATTTTACAGATATAATAATGTTTTCTTTTCCATTATCGATGATAATTGACAAAGTATATCACTAATATATCTAATATAAAATATATTAGTTTATGTGATAAATTACATATTTGGTATATCAATATAAATTATGTCACTTTTTTGTATCATTAATAAAATATATTGATATATTTAATATGATGTAAATCACTAAAAAAAATTAGTGGTTGTATTTGTATCACGTTCTATAAAACCCAGAATCTTATTAAATAATGTTTGAATTCATACCTAAGTATTGATTTTTATAATGTAATGGTCAGTTAATATTCAAATTCATTCCAAACAAAACACAGTAGATAAAATACTAATTTTTTTTAAGTAGAAATGTTGAAATCTTAATCTTGATTGGTCGTTGTACTAAAACAAATTTATAATATATACGATACTTTTTTTTAACAGTGAGATTACCAACCGAAGAGGGAAAAACCACTCCTAAATGCAACTCTCTTATCGACAATATCAGGAAATGCACGTAATCACTTTTTTTTTTTTTTGGTAGGTTTGTGCAAGTTTTTTCTTTTTCTCATTTTCTTTTTTCTTGGGCCCAAGAGAAGGAGGTCAAAAGGGGTAATGAAAAATTTTGAGCTCAAAAAGAAAAAAGGAAACTTCGACCGCCGCGGAGAGAGAGAAAATCTGTGGGTCATGGGGATTGGTTTTGGCCGTGGTTGGAAATAAGCCAAAACCGAGAGCGACACCCAGACCGCCATTAAAGTTCTTTAAAATAATATCTAAGTATATATCGATAGATAGATATCTTCTACTCAATATCATTAAAAATCATGAAAGCATACAAATAAAAAATAAAAAAGAGAGAGAGAATATAATAATTAATTATCAAATTTTAATCGATATTTTCTGTAACTCTTTTTTTTCTTTCTGTTTATGGCTGCCATCGGCTCTACCATTTTCAATTTCTTCCATTCCACGCACTACTGTTCCATGGCTCCATATATAAATTAAAATTTTTTTAAATATTTTGAAAAGGAAAAAAATAGAAAATAAAAAGTTAGTCCATCTTGGGGTGGATGGGAAGGGATGGAGACATCCAATCTGATTTCGTGAAATAAAATTAGTTGAGTTTGAGTTTGATGACATATTTTAGAGATTTTCTTTATTGATTTTTCAAATATCTGAAATTCAATTGCATGCTATATGACGTGTGTGTACATGATAGTCAACTCATAAGAGAGACAATTACATCATGCTCCATGCTTCGTATTCATGCCTAATTTTCACAAATTAACTAACATCAATAATTCATTTTGCAAATACCAATCATACTTTCTTTTAATTAAATCAAATTATTTAACTTCATGAGTGAGCCACAATCTTAATAATATTCAGTTGTCTTTTCTCACGAACTGTCATACAAGTAGCCGTCATTCTTTGTGTTCGTGTTAAAATTAGTTCAAATTACGATATGTTCGAGTTTGTATGATCTGCTCATGAATATATGTAGTTATGGACCTTAACAGTTGCATCCAATTCTAACATAATTTTCAACTCAAGTTACCAAATGCAACTAAAATTTTATGTATGTTAACGGGTTAGAGAAGAGATTGGAAACATTCCTCGAATGGTTTAATTTCGACCTGTAAACCTTCAGTATAGACATGGCTAACATGACACCTTCGAGTCGAGTCTCTTACCATCTCTCATCACTGCCCAATCAACTAAATCAAACACTTCATCTTCGTCACACAACATCCTTCCATAAGCAAGATATCAAGATTGTAAGAGCTCAAAAAAATAATAAAATAAAGGGAAGAAAAAACAGGGAATGGATATACAAAAAAATTGTGGAAATGGTCTATTGAAAGTTACATCGTTGTACAGTATGAACTATAAACATTCTCTAGATTTCAAACCTGATATGACTGCTAAAGAATTTGAGGCGGCTTTTGCCACCCCAGTGTATTAATATGAGACAATTCAACAGATTTGTAGTAAAACTGTGTATTTGAGTTGCCTCCAACAGAATGTTTCAGTAATATTTGTTTTGTACAGGAGGGAACTGTTAGAACTGTGGACAGAGTGGGCCGCTTCTGATTGACTTGGCCACGGTGGTCACATACTCTACATATTTGCACAAAGGAGGGGGATGACATTCTACAACTGGAGAGGGCAAGTATATTTTGGTGGTAAAGCGGGGAGCATGGGTGTCAACAAAACTGAAGGCAGTTACTTGGATTGCCTAAAAAATGGAGCCAATTTCAGCGAAGAAATTAATGTACATCAATGAACCTGCAACCAGAGACGAGCCTTATGCTGTCAACGCTTTGAACATTGCATATAAATAATTCCAGACACGAAGAGAAAGAGATTGACACAAACAACTACTCTAATGATGAGTCACATTGTCGTGGAGATATCGGATTTGACATAAAGAAACGCATCACTTTGAAGCATAAAATGGAGTCCCCGTGCATATAGTTGATGGAATATGAAAGCTCAGACAGTTTTATATCAGAAGAGAAGCTTGATTTATTAGAATATACAAGGGAAAAGAAGCAGGATTTTAGGAATCTTTTCTTTTCTTTAACACCTTTCTGGATGGAAGTAGAAGCTTGCATTCTGAAAAGAAGACTAAATAAGTCTATTTGTTCAAGATTGCAAGCTTTCCTGCTTTTCCAGCAAAGTCGAATCAATCCTCTACCATGAAAGTATGGGAAGACGAAGAACAGAGTAGAAAAAGGCCAGAACCTTACTGTACACACCTGAATCTATCTGAACAGCATCTTAATCTGCCAGACAAACCTTGTGAGAACTTTGTTTTTCACAATAACAAAACTGAGTCCTCCCTTGGGTTCCCTCAAGTAACTAATGCATGTTTGTGCGAACTTGATGAGGCGTAGTAGGTTTGATCAACGGCTTCAAAGATTCCATTATTTCATAAAAGGATGGACGTTTCCAGGGCTCACTGAAATATAAAGCCAATGATTACATGAAAACATTGAGAGCAAAACTGTGTAGGAAAACCTTGCAGAAGTTTCAACTCACCCGGCAAAGCAAGCCTCTATGATTGTAGCAACTCGAGGATTTAAATCACGTGGGATCTCAGGCCTGTTGCCTTTAAAGCCAACGGCTGCCACAACCTACACGAGAATTTCCATCAAGCTAAAAGAGCAAATTAACTATCAAACTATTGACCCTTTTGGGGTTTAGCAATGACAGAAGTAAGTATCCATCATCCTAAGGTGAGTTACAGAAGAAACATAAACTACAAACAAGTATAATATCATATTACAATATAAATTTTGAAGAAGCCTTGGAGCAAGCACGGGTGCCCTAGGTATAGGAGAGCAAAACTAGACTCCTAATTATATCCAAAAATAATATAAATTTTGAAGAAGTTACAATTGCTTTACACAATGTGGGACTGCATTTGTAATACCATCCACAAGGAACAGTACAAATTCTTCAAAGAACTGGACAATTCCTATTTTAAAACTTATGAATACTTGAGGTCAGAGCTCGACCTACATTACCCTGGAGAGAGTACAAATGAATACCTAAACTTGCAATAATCACAATGCTTTTAAAGGTTTCCATAAAAGATGAATCCTAGACCTTTAATTTACCAATACCAGTGCTCTTCAGAGTTCATACTTTAAACCACTAACACCATCCTTCAACCAACTAATGATGAGAAGTACCCCTTCACAACTCACAAGATCTGCTTTTAACAACCTCAAAAAATTATTCACTAAGTATTGGGAAAATCAAAGGAAATTTTCTAGTTACATCATCATTTAATAATCTTAATCTTGAAAACAAACCTGCGCTGGGTTCAAGTTGCTCCATGGTTGCTGCAATGTAGCAAGCTCCCACAGTATAACACCAAAGCTATAAACGTCTGATTTCTCATTTGACGGCTCATCACGGAGAACTTCTGGTGCCATCCACTCGGGCTGAAAAAAAGGAAGTAGTATTTTTGTTGGTTGATAAAATTCCCAGACTCAATCAACACCTAAAAATGATTACGTGGCATAATGCTGCCCACACTAGAACTTACCGTCCCAGCAGCTGATTTTGACGAAAGAAATGTGTTTGCCTTTAAGCGTGAAAGCCCAAAATCACAAACCTACATCAGTACCACCAGGGACATCAGATAGAAATAAATCAACCAATGCCAATAGATAAAAAGAGAGAACAGTTTGGAAATGAAACTAAAGAGTCATTAACAAGTACATGGTCTAACCATCAACTAAAAGTCAACATCTAGTAAAACCGATTTCCGTACCAAATCCAACCTCCCCCTTCCGCAAACATAAGCAAGTTGACCGATTATATTCATACACTCTAGAAGGATCTATTCCTTTGATATATATTCAATAAATCAATTTTTTACTGATATAATTTAAAAGAGAAAAAGGAATACACTTTTTAGCTAATCGGGATTCTGCTTTAACAGCACCCTAAAAGGATATCCTCCTTTGATATACATTCAATAATCAATTTTTTACTTAAAAGCGCAATGAATCGAACAAAACTTGACAGGAAATGAATTAGTTCAGAAGAACTTTAATCATTTTCACTGTAAGTGATATTAAAGCCTTTTTACAACTTTCCAACAAATAAATGCATATCCGTTGGAACAATAGCAATAGGATATCCTGAAGAAGTACTGAACATAGATCAATTCAATCCATTAACCTTCATAATTCAATTTGAAGACAGATTATACTGGCAGTCTCATGAAGAACTATACATATTAATAATTATAGAACTATAGGAAAAATATTGTAATGAAGTGCCACAATATCTATGCATAATCGGGACATTCAAAACTGAGGCAGGTTGGGGTGTCTATTGAATAAACATCCATCAACAAATATGATAACTACTGATAACATGGCTTTCCCGCCAGACATGAGTATGACATGAATTTTAATACACAGACTAGCTCACTGAATCTTAGATTTAAAGTCAGTAGCTAATTTAGAAAGCCTAAGATTCTCAGCTCCAACCTTTACTGTGTACTTTTTGTCGACCAAAAGATTTGGAGATTTCAAATCACGATGAACAATTGGAGGGTTACGTTTGTGAAGATAATTCATTCCCTTTGCCTGTTCATATCAATGACAGAACATTAAGCCCAAAAGGATGAACAGATATCAAGACATAATAACGATAATGCTTAATGACATTCACAAAACAAAAGGTGCAACAGCTAAAAGCTACACCATGTTTGAAATACATACAACATCATATGCCATGTTCAACCGACGTCTCTCATCTAATACTTCTCTTGCCCCAGGTCTATGCAAAAGCCTGTGCAAGCTACCTCTGCAATTCAATCATCATGGTGAAGGGGTGAACATATAGTTTTTTAAGGTTATAAGCATTCGATGCAAGAGGAATTTGCAGAACCTTGATAAGTATTCCGTGACAATGGACAAGTTTGGAGGCTCGGTGACTGCACCCATAAAGAGAACAATGTTTGGATGTCGTAGACTTTTCATTATGGCCACCTGGCAAAGCAAAAGAAGCTATTGAACCTACTGAATAATCACTTGCAAGTAGAACAAGATTGGTGAAATTTGAAATTTTTTCTTCAAAATTTTATAGATGCTTGAATTTTTTGCATCACTTATACCTCCCTAAGGAATTCATCAAAACGTTCTGCATGTAAGTCTTGTTCCATCAGAATCTTCACAGCAACATCCTAAAATGTCCAAGGCATACAAAAATATAGTCCTCTCAATTCTCATGAATAATTAAAAATAAATAAATGACACAACTTATAGACCTGGAAACCTTAGTTAAAAGAAAGAAACAAAAAAAAAAAATCAAGGTTCTTACCGAGCCGTGCCAATCAGCATGATATACAGTCCCAAAAGAACCTGAATTATTACCAAGTGGACAGTAAGTATGGCCACATAGAGAATAATAAATTGATATTATAAGGATTACATCTCTCACTGGCTAAAATTATAGTGTGATGAAAAAGCACAAAATATTTCTTCCAGAAGGAGAACATAATATACCTGCTCCAATTTTCTCTCTCAAAGCAAGATCTTGCCATGGAATAACTAAATCTTCTATCCCAAGGGAGAGCTCATTCGGCTTTTTAACCAGTTGACTACCCTCAACAAATGATAAATTGCTAGTAGGATCCGTCCTTAGATGAGACAATGCTAAGAGAGGTTGAGAATCTCTGGAACCAATCTGCGAGGTCAGGTTTATAGGGACTCCTTTTTCGAAAAAAGAGGTAGACAGTACACTATATTGAGAAGTATCACGTGATCTAAATTGCTCAGAATTTCTATCTGTAGCACTTGGTTGAGAAGTTTTTGGGTTCAATAACTGAGAACTTTCATCACTGTCACCAGTAAGCACTGTGTTTTTACCATCTACATCCTTCCTATTAAATGGCCTTTGATAGACAGAAACTGGGGCATCCTTCCCAGATACAACATTCCCTGCAAATAAAAATTCTGGACTCGTTAATAGAAACCATTGCATCAGAGAACATATTAAAACACTGATCATACAAGCTCATAACAAGAAGTCAATTTTTTTTTTTAACAAGAAACAAATTTTTGATAAATGAAAAGGAAGAAAAATGTTCAATGATACAACTCCAAAAGGGAGCGAAAAAAGACGAAACGGCCAAACAAAGAACAAAACTTAAAAAAAAAATTACAAGAAAATTAGTCAAAGAAGAACAAGACGCCTAAAATTTTCGCAAAACAACTAACTGAATCAAACGAAACCACTCCCTTCAAGCTTCAAAAGCTACAACGACAATATGAGCAGGAGAAAAAGGACATCTATAAACCTTTGAACAAAAAAATGTCCCCTGAACAATACACCAACAAAAAGTCCATTCGAAAGTTTTTTTTAGCCCAATGAAAGGGGAATACTCTATCAGAAAAATAAATGTCTGGGAAGTCCTAGTTCAGCATGCAGGATTTGTTAGAAACTGAGCCCATAGAAAGGTTGATCTATCTTGTGGATGGCATTTTCTACCATAGATTGAAGTTTGGAATGTCGAGAACCTTGCCAAAGATATTCATTTTTTATATAAGAAATCGAGCTTTCATTGAAATAAGAATATATAATAACCAGACAAAAGGAGACCAACCTAAAAAAGGACCCTGGTCCAAAGAATAACACTTAACTGATCATTACAAAAAGTCTTCATAACCAACACCCACAGGGTACTTTATCTAACAATCTCCCAAATATCCTCCCAATATCTCTCAACCTCTTAAAAATTATGTTGTTACTCCCAAGCCAAATACTCTACAAAATAGTAAAAAAATAAGTCTGCCACAAAAGAATTCCTCTAGGCTCTATCACAAACAAAAAAGAGAGAACAACAACACCTCCTCCATCATTGTCTTATACTCATTGTTACAAGCCAAGAAAACCCCAAAAGCCTCCAAGAACCGAACCAAATAAATTAGATGAACTAACATCTTCGTAGAATATGGTGAAGGTCCTCCAAGGCACCTTTTCAAATAATACACCATTGGGGCTGAAACAGAAGGTTCAGAAGGATGAACACAGTCTTAAAGTATTAACTTTCCCATGCAAGACCTGCCAAGCAAGAACTTGATCTTTTTCAAAATGTGTACCTTCCAGAGTGAGGCAAACAACGAAGCAATGGGTAGAAGCGAGGAAACATTCAAAAGAGTAAAAAAAAATAAAAAACTACAAGAAAGCCCCAACGATGGGCTGGGGTGCCAAACACGAATGTCCTTCTCCCAAGCAAACGTCTCCTAATAACAAAAGAAATGCAAAAACCTCCCACGTTTGCCTATCCGTCAAAAACTGACAGAGACCTAAGAAAATAGAAGGAGAATTCCCCCAAGACATCAAAACAGAAGGCATGACCAACTATAATGATGTTGGTAAAGAAAATGAAGCCGCAGGCAGAGGCAGCAATAAAATCAAATTCTACTCTTTAGATGCCCAATGTACATTTATAAGCACGTCATATATTGTAATTAAGTCAAACCTTCGAAAGATCTACACGCTATAGCTAATAATTGAAGGTGAATGATTCAGAAAATCCCCAACTCTCTCCACTAAACTGAATAGCCCAATAACAAAAAAATCTAGACAGTCAGTGATTCATCAAAAAGCTAAGGACTTGTCAAACATAATGAGTACAAACATAATAAACTTACTAAAGATGACTTGATAAATCCCAAAAAGAATATAAAAATAATAATAGATAACAGTAGAAGAAGTAGTAATAATAGTAATAGTAAAAGCTGGTAGATTCACGGTCCATAGAAAACTGATTAAAGGCACCTCATTATCAAGAAATTGAACTGGAGAAACAAGACTATAAAGTAAAGAGAGAAAAAAATAAATGATAGCTTCATATTCTTGCCATTAAAAAAAAATCACCTGAAGAATCTTCGTCAAATACAATATTAAGTGATTGACTATCCAAGAAATACTGTTTGGCCAGTGACCTGAAATCAATGGTAGATTCAATAGGTTTTAGTCTTGGAAATCGCAATGGTGAAGAAATTGAGATGGATGATGGACCATTGAGCAAAGAATCAGGTTCGCATAAGCAACCTGGCTTCCCAATCAGATCAATGAGATATTCCCTGAAAATTAAGATTTTCCTGTTAAGAACTCAGGTAAACTATGAACTCTAAATCAATCAAGATTATCCAAAAGTATAGAAAAAGCATACCTATGAAGCCCAAACCTAACAAGGCAAGATGAAGCATCATCTCTAGAACAATATTTACAGCCCCTGGCAATTCGACAGGGCAAATCAATTGAATCAGCCAGTACCTGCAAAAATAATAATCTTAGGCATGTCTGCTGTCCAATAATGTTCATACAAGATTTACAATCTCGAAGGATAATAATTACTGATAGATACTAGGTAAATCAAATTTATGTTCATTTGTTTTGATGCAAGAACAATTGAAAGATTTTCAACTGGCTAGCTAAAAGATGCAATCCACCAAAACCACCCAAAGTTGCATGTTATTTGACCACCAGGAACCACAGACAATAATTTGGCTATCATATTTTATATTTATAGATATTAAATTTCATGATAAAAAGAGAAGGCATAGATGCAATGCAATCGATAAAAATTTTAAAAAAATACAATTAATTCACATAACAAGAAATTCTCACTTTGAATAAAAGAGCACGATGTCTACAGAGGCCAACAGATAAGCTGCACAAGGGAATCACGATAGATCCAAAACATTCTTTTAAGTCATCACTGCATTCCCTCCAGGAGGAAACCAAGTCATCTTCTCCCTTGGAAATTGAACCCCTGGTTATGTATTAAAAGATGTTACTAATATATTATAGAACATGCTAGATTGTCACTAAAACTGTAGACAACTCACCCCATATGATTGCACACCAGCTTTGCTAAATGATCTGCAACTTCTTTTGTGGTTAAACCGCTAGAAGAAATATTATGCACCCTGTTTAGCAGTTCCTTAAAGCTAGGGTCACTTTTCTGATCTATCAAAACTACTTCAATCGAAGCATCAATGCTGGAATAAACTGCCTTCAGAGATTCAAATGATGGTATACGGCCATGGTCTTGCAGATTGGTGCACAAAGACCATACATAAGGGTCCATGCCATGAATTAGATAAAAACCATCTGGCACTTTCTCAAAGTATGACATGCATCCATTTACCTGATGGATACCAAATTATAAGATAGCATGTTAAAGCAAAGATAGAGTCAAATGTTGTGTTAAAAGTACAATGATGCATCCTATGGCATCTTCTATGTAGGTTCTTAGAATGAAAACAAATTGAAGTTAATCTCTTATTCTCTTCTTTATTATTTCTCCTTGGAACATTAATATGACAACTCAGAATTAGCTAAAAGTAATCAATTTTACAAATGTAAATATGCAGTTCGTGAAAAGGAAATTTTGGGGGTTATACTCTATAACTTTTATTCCCCTATTTCAGTTGATTCTTAATGAACTTTTTACAATTAAGAGAACCGGCACTACAATTCACAAGCTACTGTATTAGTAAATATGTCACAAATCAAGCAGACTCAGGATACTTGATGACTACGAACTCTGGAGGATCCTTCTAAACTTCCATCCACTCAAGTTGCAAACATATCTTCAAAGTTATACTTTTTTCCTCAAGGAGACCCAAGTTCCAGTCTACGCATTAATACGAGAGCCTTATTGG